AATCAATTTGTTTGTGCGCTGCTCGGAACTATGGGAGTGAGGCGCACTAACATCAAATTTTCTTTAACTAATTTTATTTTTCACCCACGCGACGGCCTTCGCCGAAGAGAAGAGACTGGCTACTCGTAGTCTAATTTTTAAAGTACTTATATTTCTTTTCTTTTGCCAACCATGCACCAAACACACGAAAAACTGGTTGTAAACAATTTATTAAGGTCAACTCAATCTTTTGGTTTATTTTATGTTTCAAACGTGAACATCATTTCACTTACGATACAAATTTGTTCTCCCGTGCTACAAATAACTACAATAAATAACATTAATTTAAATTAACACCCCTTACTTTGTAGAGAAGATACTCACTGCCCAATTTGACTCCATCACAGCACCATTCCAGAAGTCAAATGAAAAAGTTTAAAAAAAAAAAAAAAAAAAAACTGTAGGAACCAACTGCGTTGTGATGGACGAATCAGGACTCACTTTCCACATCCAAATAAAAACATTTTTATAGAGCATTAAATCCTGAAAGTTAAACTGAATTATTGTATTGCAAATTAACGTGAACATTAAGTAGTTGCCAGAGGAAAGTTGAAGTTCTTAACCCTTAAACTCCCAGAAGTGATTAACAGGTAACTTCTCCTTATAATATCCATACAATATATAGCAAACAGGTAATGAGAAAACTTAGTTCTTATTAACCGATTGAGAGGTCTGTATGGGAGAATCTTGAACGAGGTCGCCAATAGACCGAACGCAGTGAGGTCTGTACCTGCGACTGAGGTCAAGATTCTCCCATACAGACCGATCTAGCTCGGTTATCAAGACCGGTCTAAATGCCGGTCTAGATGGGGAAAATCTAGACTGCTTTCAATATTGACTTCAGCCAATCAAATTCGTGAATTCGGTAGTCCCCAGTCCTTTTGAGACAAACTTATCAGGTTATTTTTTTTTTATCTAAATCTAATACCAAATTCTTGTCACTAATTTCCAAGGAAAGTGTGGTTGTTAGAGGGGAGAATTAACAGATCTTAGGATTTATAGGGTCAAAACAGAATAAATTGGGACATGTACATTGTATTGTTAACTGTGGGAGATGGGAAGACCCTCATTCACACCAGCAAATCTGTGCTAAATTTCAAGTTGACAATGTAAAACAAAACAGCTTTAACATATTAAAGCTTTGGTGTGAATGGGATACAAGTCTATGACACTACACATTTTTAAGCCCTGACTAAACAAATAACTCGTGACACATTGTTGAGCTATTTTACTTAAATAATTGTGAAGTGACTGCATTCTGATGCCATACGACACCACTTATAACAAGTATTACTGTTTTCTTAATTGCCACAGCAGATTTCCCTTTTTGAAAGAGAACATGTGGGGCAAAGCTATAACCAAACTTGAAAACAGTTGCACTTTTTGATTGCACCTTTTTGGAAGAGAGAATTGGAGATGAAGTAAAACCTGGAAAAAAGACCAAAACTGAAGCTTATGCACATTAAACTCAACAAATCCTAGAATTGTAGGTTTTATGTTTGATACTTCACATGTATGTACATGTCTTGTTAAAAACAAGTACTATGAAATTCGTTCCGATGTAATCATGGTTTGAAAATTTAGTAAGGAATTCCACAGTTGATTCAAACCCAAAAACTCAACACTTCACCTTAAAAGTTGCACAGGCTGAGATAACTGCAGACCTGTTATGTAACTTCTATATTGTTTTGGGGAGGGAGATGGGATAGCTCAGTGATTACCAGTGGTGCCCAGGATCCTTGGGCCAGATTGGACTATCAGCTGGAACATGTGCTTTGCCAATGAATAGGACACTTACAAGTAACTCTTGCAGTGTGTCTTCAACAAAAAATTATAAAGAGGTAGAGGCAAACTGTTAGCAAAGCCTGAGGGGGGTGGGGTGGGGCCAAATAAACTGTGATAAGTTCCTTCTGGACCAGGCTTCTGACTCCTAAACTGACCATATATTTGCTGCATGGTTTGTAAAAGTTAATTTGTATTAAATACACTGTTTACAAAGAGTACTTACATTTAAAAAAATAGTTCTAGCTTAAGAGTTCAAGAATGATTGGAAAGGGGTGGATCAAAAACTAATACCAAACACTACAGCAGAACTGGAACATCATCCATTCGTACAAAAATACCATCAACTCGTTATCTGCTTGACTCAAGTTTTTTCATTTTAATTTAGGATCTGTACATCTTTAGCACTGCTTTTGATCCATGGAATGGAAGATTAGAAGTCAGTCGTTAAGCTTTTATACAGGGCAATTTAAATCTACCTCTTTTCTAAGGTATGATTTCATGTTACCCACGAAGAACTTCCTTTGCTGTGCATCACCTCTTTTGCATCAACTGGAAACACAGTGTATGATCCCTTGTATCCGCCCATCCCCCGTTAGGACTAAATTTAGAACCTATATTGTTGTCACCCGGCTGTATGTTCACCGAGGGTGGAAAAAGGCTGTTTGTGTTCTTCTCTATGATGGTTTGGAACCTCTGCACAGTAGCTTCAATCTTGCAATCAGCTTTCTTGTGATGAAGACCACTGCAATAACAAACATTATTATCCAACTGGATAAAGCAGAGTACAAATAATGCACAAATATTATCTTGTACAGTTGATTATTTTGTACTGTAAAAAACCTGTTTAACAAGGAAGTGTGGGGCAGCTAGAGGGAAGAATTAACAACCAGAACTTGGGAGTTAAAGGGTAAAAAAACCAACAAATGAATGAACAAATAGGAGAGAGTAAGACAGTCAAATAACACACATATCCAGGAGTAAAAGCATTTTCATGAACAAGGTTCGCACATACACTTCCATATGTACGATACAGCTAGTAACTAAAGTACACTGAAAGAATAATTTTTTTATCTTAAAATAAACTTTACCATTCTCCTAGGTGAAAAACTCTTGGACCCTTGAGAATGAGCGACTTGAGTGGCTGTGGCAAGCAGGACACACTTATCTTCATCAAAGACCAGTCCCAATTGTATTCATCATAGCTCTTGCAAAAAACCTATCAAAATTAATGAATAATTATTTTTTTTTTATCAAATCATGTGTTACAACATTCTCACAAAGAGAATTCTACATCAACAAAAAATACGCAATGACCAATATGCAAAGGAAGTAGAGCTGTAGATTTGGATGTACATGTAGATGTATGTATGCTCAGGCATATAGCAAAGTAAGGTTTTAAAATTCTCTACGGCACACAGCCAAATTCTCAGCAGTCACCCTTAACCTAAGTCCCACTCGGTGGGGAAACAGGTCCCACTACTGAGCCTTCTAAACAACTCAGAGTTGCATTATGGGAAGGAGTTTTGATCCTCTTGGCTTACTATTGCAGCAAATGTATAAAATGTGCATTTGGCAGGTTTGCCTTCTTGTTGATGATTATTCCTACCCACCTCACTACATTCTTTTATTTTATTCCAAGTCATTCTATCAAATGCCATCCCCATGTTGTGTTCATGTGATCTCCAAACTGAAAGGGCTGCCTGGATGAGGTAAAGTTGTTTAAGATTTAACATTTGGCATCTAATGCACACCCTTGAAACTTAACAAGATTATTTAACTCTTTAACTCCCAGACATGGTAAGCAAGTAACTTCTTCCCTTAATATCCATACATTATCTGGAAAATTAAATAGGTAATGAGAAAACTCCCACTTATAAATATTATTGTAGAAGTTGTTATCTTGACTTCAAACAAGTTCTCACAAAAAATTTAAAAGAAAATGTGCACACGCTGGAGGGGAGAATCAACAATCAGATCTTTGGAGTTAAAAGGGGTAGAAGGCGTTAATTTCCCACGCACGAGATTACTGTGTGATGGATGTCCTTCCCGGGGTGGGATGGTGGGTACAAAAGGGTTAGGTGTCAATTGGGACGAAAGTTCTGTTCTTTTCTCTTGCCACTCCTGTGGCGAATGGATTAAACTAAACTAAACTAAAGGGTTAAATTTATCTTAATGTGTCAACTATTTTGTTCCTTATTGTAGCTTACCCAGTGATGTTACAATGCATTAAAAGGTACACAAATGAACATCCAGTTTGTCTGTGCACAATGAAGACTAAAAATGCAGCACCTTACCATGTCTTTAGCACCATTCAGTTCATAATTATCCACAACTTTGTATGTACCCAAGGTTATCAAATCACAGTCCTCCTTACAACCACTGTCACAATAATCAAGTAATACACAAAAATTAGAGAAATGTTATCCAACAACCTTTTCAGCAGGTTTAATAATAATTACTTGACAAGTACATACAGTTTCTAACATGTTATTTTGAGGGTTTGAAATGTCCCTTTGCAAGGAATGTAACTCCTGACAGTCTCCTATCCCATATTTTGCTTGACATGTGCTAATTGTAGCTGTCACAAAACACCCACATGTAACTGTGAATGCATTATTTACATTATTTTAAATGTTCAAAAACTATAAATAGCTACTGGTGTTTCCCACACTGTAGGTAAGTTGGTTACTTTTTGTTTGCACTCTTTACAGACCTGTTGTAGTATTTTCCTTTCCCATGATTGGCTGTTGTGACGACTTTGGTTCTGGTTTTACAATGCTCTCTTTATTAGACATTTAAATTAAGTGATACATTATATTGTTTTACAAAGAGGACCTGAACAAGTACATCACATGTTCTTGTTCAGATGTAAAATTTTCATACAATGTAACTCACTAATTATTACCTTTGAGACAATTTAAGTAAATACAGGTTACACAGAATAGGCTGGAGTATTTAAAAAAACAAATATCTTTAGTTACTGGCTTATACCCCACTTAATACATGGTGACCACCCAAAATGGTGCTGCATAATACAGGTTCAACTGTGGTACTAACCTCATTTTGCCATTATACACCAATTTTAACATGTGGTAGAAGTCTGGACTAACATAATAATCTTCTTCAAGGAATAATATTGGGCCTGCAAAGTCTTTTGTAGCATTCAGCAAGTCAAATACTGTGTTTGCCTTTAAAAAAATCAAAATCTAGGTTTACAAATTAATCTAAGTATAATTAAAAAATATAAATAAATAAAACAGGTCAAGATGATCTTTAAAACTGAAAATAATTGTAAAGCATTTGCTGTGGTTCTGCACTTGGCTGCTACCACTACAATTGCACTAAAACAATAAAAAAAAAAAAACAAAACAAAACAAAAAAAAAAAGAAACAGGCATCTTCCTTTAAAGAAAGAAGAAACTCCTTGGCTGCACTGAGTAATGCAGAATGTGGTTAGGGACTGGATCACTTATCATGAGATGAGCAAATTACACTGCTAAGACTTCTACTTTAAAAGTAACTAGACACCAATACATGTAGGTGCAATCTGCAAACTGGGGCTTAACATGAATAATGCTTAAGCAAAGAAAGGTTTAAAATTCACACCTGGTCAATGAGAAGAACCCAAAAGCAACTCATTTCCAAACAGTGTCTTGCCAAGTTGACACTACCAATTGCACTTCAGAAAAGGAAACAAAACTATATTTTTCACATACAGGGTCTACATGTCACCACTGTGAAACTTGCTTAGGTGGTTTTATCGATATTTTTCTCCCAGCATCTCATAACTGATTGTTTGAAAGACAGAGTATACTGTACTTTGGTTAAACCACTATCAAGAGGATCAAGTATTTTGTAAAATCACTCTTATCTCTTGAGTAGAAATTTATGTACCTTGAGAACTTAACCACCCTTTCAAGCAACTGGAGCAAGGTGAAAGGAGGGTAAATAGCCTGTGATTCAGTAAACTCACCTTCCACCACCAGTGATGTTTTATCATGGTAAATGGTGCTTGTCTGTAATGACCATACATGTCTGGTGTCTCTGCATTGATACAGCCCATTTCTCTGGCTCTAAATTTTATGTTTGAAAACAAAAGTAAAAATACACTTCTCATTAGAACACATAATTTCAGACTCTGAGTACCGTAATGATTTGATTTAGTGCCCTCCTTCCAATTAAAGCGCCCCCTTCCGAATAAGCGCCCCCCCTCGAATGTGTTTTTATTAATAAGCGCCCCTATTCCAATGAACGCCCTCATTCTAATAAGTGCCCCTGTTCTAATATTACAGCGCCTTCAGAATACATATCAAATGTGGTTCATCTTCTTTTAATAGCCGACACACCGTATGTAATAATGCATTACAAAAACTGTGGTCTTCGTCTGAGTTTCTCAACTGTTATGTCCACGTGAGTGCATAATTCCTTCAAACGAATAATCACTTCTTCAAATTTTGTGGCGATTGCTCTGCTGGTTGTTCTCGCTAGGAACACTCCAGGGACAACAAGTCCGTTTTCCAGTCTTCTTGATCCAGTCACTTTGACCTGTACTTTATTCTCATGGCGGGCTTTGAGAAATGTGAATATAAGGAAGGAAAGTTCCATCGGCACAGGCCCAACAAGTTTGTTATCAGCTTCAAGGTAAGTCCCAACTGCGTATTCATCGTGTTCTTTAGCTTCCTTATGGTCATCAATCCTGCATGCCAGAGATTCTCCTATGATTGGAGACCACACCACTTTGTAAACATGATGACCTCGTATAACAGACGAAAATTCCACTTCATAAACAAACATCAAATTCCAAATCAAGTGATAGTCAGGAGCAGGGATGGTGCAGTTGTGAGAGCACTCGCCTCCCACCACTGTGGCCTGGGTTTGATTCCCGGACCTGGCGTCTCATGTGGGTTGAGTTTGTTGTTGGTTCTCGTCCTTGCTCCGAGGGTTTTTCTCCGGGTCCTCCAGTTTTCCTCCCTCCGCAAAAACCAACATTCCAAATTCCAATTTGATCTGGAAGAGTGGACAAGAATAGCCACCCAGTGGATGTCCATTGTTAAATCATTTGTTTATTTATTTATTTATTTATAGTCAGAACGAGCCATAATCGTAGATATTTACCACTGGTAATTTCGCCGCGTAGCTGCTTTCCCGCTTCTTCCTCATAATTTATGTCATTTGCATTGTTCTTACATTTGATGAATCATTAACAGCTTCAAGCAGTCACGTTCACTTGCAATCCTAAACCTATTCTTACACGTACCGTGATCACTTTGGTGTAAAGTGATCACTTACCGTGATCACTTTACACCAGCTGTGTACAGTGATCACTTTATGTAAAAACATGGAGGTTGATACTTCTCAGTCTCATGCTGGCAAAAAGGTAAATTCTTATTCAACAGAATTTAAACTAGAAGCCGTACGGTTTGCCTTGGAATGCAATAGTAACTATCAAGCAGCGAAGAAGTTCAACTTGGACCGGAAGGGAATATGAGAGTGGCAAGCAAACCAGAGTAAATTAGAATCTGCTAGTTGCATGCAAAAGTGACTCGCCGGGGTGGGAAGAAAGCCTTTTGATCTGGATATTGAAGAAGTGTTTTTGGAATGGGTCTACGAACGACACTCTAATGGTTTTCGTGTATCAAGGAAAATGATCAGAAGCAAAGCAAGGTTTCTCTATGAGGAGAAATGCAAGGAAATGGAACTTCCTCCAACATTCACGGCAAGCATTGGGTGGGTGCAGAAGTTCATGACCAGACATGGGTTATGCATACGGTGCAAGACAACGGAATCCCAAAAAACTAATTGACAAACTGATCGCATATGTGTTACAAGCAAGATGGCTATGTGTAAAGGTCTCTTACAGTGACAGTGACATTATAGCAATGGACAAAACAGCTGTTTGGCAAGACATGCTTTCCAATACAACTGTTGATTCCATTGGCCACAACACCATAGCCATGAAAACAACTGGTCACGAGAAGACAAAGGTTTCAGTTTGCTTAACAGCAAAAGCAGATGGAACAAAATTGAAGCATTTTATCGTCTTTCCCGGTGCTAAGAGAGAAACCAAATTACTCAATGAAGAATTTAAGACTAAATGTGTTGTAGCATCATCTTCTAATGGGTAGATGAATGAAGAACTGACCCTTGACTGGGTAAGAAGTGTTCTGGGGAAGTTTTCATTTACCCGACGAATCTTGGTGTGGGATTCGTTCAAGTGCCGCGTGATGGAAAAAGTCAAACAAGAGCTGTGCACGTCAAAGATAGATCCTTTAATCGTCCCAGGGGGTTGTACGAAATACATTCAAGTGCCCGACGTGGTTTGGAATAAGCCTTTTAAAACAATTATCACTGAGAAATATGATGAATGCAGGATGGCTGGTGAAGCCCACTCTTTCACTGCAGTGGGAAACATGCGTGCTCCAGCCCGGAGAGAGATAGTTAAGTAGATCCTTGCGGCATGGGATGGCTTGGACAAAACAATGATTATCAATTCATTCAAGAGCTGCGCACTAACCGTTGTAGTGGATGGATCAGAGGACGGACACATTCACTGCTTCAAGGAAAATCAGCCCTGCTGTGCAGGTCTAGAACGGCTCAAGGTTGTTCAACAAGCCATGAGCAATTCACGTGACAAGGATCCTTTCGACGGGATCATAGAATTTGATGTTGAGGATGCTGCACCAGATAGCTTGATAATTGATGCAAGAGACACTGAAGTCATCGACATCGAATAGATAAACTCACGAACATTCAACGTACCGTACATGTTTACTTGTAACAGCTACAGTATATTAAATGAAGAATTCTTTTCAAAGTAACTGAACTTTCAACAATTTGTTACTGTTACAGTTTCTGTTATTGTTAGTTATTTTAATATTTATTAAAGTCATGCTTTAACCATTTGGTTGTTTCTCAAAAACTTAAATAAGCGCCCTGTCCCAAATAAGTGCCCTCCCTTGAGGTACCAAGAGTAAATAAGCACCCCGGGCACTAAATTGAATCATTACGGTACTTTAATTGTATACAAGTGCGCACTTTTTATTACATGCAAGTAGTGTAGCTGCACAATGTACACAATGGGAACTGCACGCCTGTCAATCATCAGTTATAGTGAGTGTAACAAGTCCCAAGTCCAGTGAAAGAGTTGTTAATTTTTCTGGTGGCATCTGAAAAGTTTAAGATACAAAAAACAGCTTTGAGTTACTCACTTCTCTCGGCTGATATCTCTTGGGCAGTCCTGAGGATCAGTTCCAGGAAACTCATTTGGATAAAGCTGATATGAAAATGGGAAAAAGATTTGCATGACCTGTAAAAAAATAAAAATAAATATACAGAGAAAAACTCATTCATACTACATGCTGGGAAATAAATACCAACAAATAAACTAAATTAAAATCCTTCCAGATGGCTCTTAAACATAAACTAATCTTGAGATCTTTGGAACACTTCTCTAAAAACATTCTGCTACTGAACTCTATATCTATATATACAGTGATTAATAATTATGAACAAGATTATTCAATAAAGAGTGTCCCCAGGTCACATATATTATGCAACAACAACAAAAGTAATGCTAAATATTTTCTTTTCTCATATATTGTAATTAGTTTTCTATTGTGAACATCATATTAATTCTTTTGAAATTTGTAAATAATTAGATGTATACTTTGAAATTGTAAATAATTGCTTTATTAATAAAATGAAGGAGCTAAAAAAACAAAAACAAAAAGTTATTAGATAATTGTCTCTGTTATTACAAGTTCTTGAATACCTTCTGAGTTTTTTAATAATTGAAGTCTTTTCAACACTTTACTGAGTAAGTTGTTAGCAATCTGGATTCATAACAGTGATAGTTTGAACCTATTTAAGTGATGTTTGATTGTATTGTACGTTTGACTGGGTAAGGATACATTGTTGTTGCTATCATGGTTGTTTTCAGTTTTACAACTAATGATACATGTACAGAGTAACTTAGCTCTTGTTTTTCAAATGCCAGTTACTGTCACCAACAGAAACTCCTCTCTGAACAACTCTCAGTCAGACAAACTTACTAACCTTTGGAATCTGACAGTGTTTTTTGGCAAACTTATGGTCACAAAAAGGAAACAGGGCTGATTTCATAGTGAAAGGGTTGACAAGTTCTTGGGTACCCAAGAACTCACTAGTAATTTTCCTTACTGCCTGTCTTACAAATTTTAGGATATTGTTTTGGAGAATTTGGTACTGGATCCACTTATAATCCCTTAACCGACATTTTCTTTATTCTTGTTACTTGTCTGCATGATGTTGTATCTACATTGTAGGAATTCTGATCACTCATGGGAGTCTAAAGGGTTAAACTAGTAACAAAAGAAAAATAATCAGTCCTAGCTTGTATCAGGCTCTCAGTCAAAACAAGCACACAAAAAAATGACAGGATGTGCTGTTGGTCACACAAGCTCAACCACTGTTTTTCCCTAATTGCCAGATTCTTTGCCCATCTCCACTAACACAGAACAGGTTAACTAATGTTTCTAAATTCTGAGCCATATGACTTAATTAAGTCTCTTGCGTTCTGTCTAACAGATTCATTCAGTACTTGGTTTCATACATAGTTTGCAAAGTAATTTTAACAATGATCAAAATTGTGTGACAAGCCCCCTGAGGTTTAAAGAAACCTTGCTACACAGTGAGGACAGCCTCTACAAAGTATATTGTAAGTATTATAAGCACAGTAATGATCTCTTCCATTTACAATGTATTCTCTAGCGTTCGGGTATATGTTTCCAGCTGCTTTTGTTTTTGCAAACAATACTCGACATAAATTGACACGCGGCGTCACTAAGTGGATGCATGAATAATTGATTCTTGGAGGAAAATTTACATTAGGAAGATTGCGATTTTTTCACGTTCTACTTTTCGTGAACGCTGTTGTAATAATTAGATTCCCGTTAAATAACGCTCCAAACTGAATGTTAAGGTCCTAGAATTTCTATGAAAGCCACAAATTTCCTCTTAACAGTGATCGACCCAGTATTAAAAAAACCCACGGGGGACTGAAATAAATCAACACGACTATTCCATTAGGGAAATTTAAGGGCAAGCCATTTTTGAGCGATGTCATGCATATAGCACAAAATACAGGAAGACTTTCAGATTTCTACCGGTATTATTTTCGAGCATGTCATAGGCGTAAATCTATCCCCACACTAACAAATCGTTAAACTTAATGCGAAACAAGTTATGGTAAACTTGTCTAAAGTCGACATTTGCTTGCCAAAGCTCTTTCTTTCTGTAATCAATTCCAAGCTGTTATATTACCTAATCGAATTGAAATGACAGCCAACGTTAACTATGGATGAACTTCACAGTAAAAGAAGGCACTTACTCTACAAAAGTCGATGGATTCCACCAATTTGTTCATTTCCACGGAGTAGTAGTCATGACTCACGATAACCAAGGCATCTCCGATTCCTCTCGAGCGCCTCAGAGAAGTTAGTAAATGAGAAAAATAATCAATTCTATCGTGCACTTGAATAATGATCACAATTGAACCTGGAGACAAAGTCGTGCCGAATTTGTCGCCATTTCTGATGAACTGCGCTTCATTCAAAGTCCTTACGAAATGTCTAAGTTTCAGAATCTCAGGTTCAACGCTTTTGTTTAGAGAAGAATTAAGAGTTGGTCGTTTTGTTGTAACACGTAAGCTCTCTTGCGGGATATTGATGTTTATATTTTCATTCCTTCCTTCAGTTTTGATAGCGTTTTCGATTGATTTTGTCACAAGTGGATTATTCTGCGGCCGATTTAGATAAAAACCATTATTGTAAGGTGGAGAGTCCATATTGCCAGACGGATCGAAAGCAATGATCTCGTGTAGCGTCAACACCGCAATGACTGCTCCAATTCCCACCATAACCAAAATAAACAGCTTTGTACTAAAGAGACGTATAGTCGTCCCTCTATATTTGAAAATCATGGCTTCAACGTTCAAACAGGAAAATACCACACTGACACCTTGCTGTAGCCAGGAATGACATTGAAAGATTTGTTCGGACCCATAATGGCGGACAAGAAGCCGGCGTTCGTGATAATGAGGGCTAAGACTTGCATGTCAATCCTTTGAAAATGGTCTTTCTTGCTAACAAACCCTGTCTTGAATCCTTAGTAGCAAATGTGTCCCTAAAGTAACGATTTCTAAGAGTCATCTAAACATTTTTCGGGGCGTGATTTCGACTGTCATTATCAACGACTTCCACTGCTGAAGATACAGCTTCCGTTTCCCGTGTTTGCGCGCGTGTAAGTCATTGCTAAGCACCACACTGGTTTCCACTCTCACTCGGTCTACACACGCTGCACGAAACAACATGGCAGTTTGCAATGAAGTTTGTCTTACTATAAAATGGAGTGGAAAGGAATATTCCATAGACAAATTATTACCAACAGACACGGTGGGGTATCTGAAAGAAGTGATAAAGGAAAAAACTGGAGTCTTACCCGAAAGACAGAAACTGTTAGGTTTGAAATATAAAGGTAAAAAAAAAGTTAGTCGCTATGGGCAGTCAAATGCAGACCAAGTGGGAATTGAAACCTGTAAGTTATGATGGACAGAAAGGATTTTTAATCGAGCTGATGTCCTCAAATGGGATGCAGCTTTCCCATGAACCGTAAATCCTGGAATTACGGGTATAGCTCGTTCTGGGTTAAGGGGCGCCTATTTATTGATTATTAATTTGTCAGCGAACAAACTGTTTTTTGGTGAATTTATCATTTCAGGTAAAACTCCCGATGATGATGTGCGCCTGAGCACCTTAAATTTGAAGTCTAACACAAAGATTATGATGATGGGAACAAGGGAGGAAAACTTAGTATGGCTTCTTAATTTTTTAGTTGTAATGAAGAGTTAGGATAATCTAAGTTTTCAGCAGATTGAAAACAGAAGATACTGTACTGTAAATATAGTCTGTGCATGGTGCTCTATGTTGATAGAAAAAACACTAGTAGTATGTAAATGTTGTAGTTAAATTTTATACTTGGTTCAAATTTTATTTTCCTTTGTTCTCAGTCATGCTGATGTATGATAATGAGTTTGAAACAAAGGAAAATAAAATTTGAACCAAGGGTAAAATTGAAATACAAAATAAATACTGGGTATATCAGAGTTTTTTTGCAAGCATATTTCTTTTATTTTAACTCTCAGGCTGAAGTGATCTCTCCTTCAGAGGAGTTATTAAACAATCAAGTGATAAATGACTTTGACATAGAGGAAGAAGAGATTCAAATAGAAAACAGGTACACATACCTTTTTTTGAGGACTTCTTTTGATATTCTAGAAATAATTGGCGTCTTCAGGGTTCCTGCACTCCTTGAAAGTCCTTGAAGGTCCTTGAATCTAATTTTTTGTTTTCAAGGACTTGAAAACCCTTTAGTTTAGACTCGGGTCCTCGAAGATAAGTGCACAAATCACGAAATTGAGTTTTTCTTTCAAATCCTGCATCTGATTATGATGTTTGACACATGATTTTTGTAAATTTTGTACCTGATTGGTACATTGAAAATAACCTTGGTTACCTAGCTCGCAATCTCTCTGATGTATATGCTTGAAGTCATGCTTGTTGGACTTTTAGGCCATTCCTATTTGATGTGAAAGGTCCTCGAATTTGAGAGTCACAGCCCTTGAAAATGACCTAAAAAGTCCTTGAAAGTCCTTGAATTGGGTTCCTCAAAAACTGTAAGAACCCTGTGTCTTGCAAGTACTTGTTAACAATCATATCGTTGAATAGTATATTTCCTTGAATAAGCACCTGCACACTTATTAAAAGTTTTGGCTGAAGTAAAGGTTGCTTATTGAAAGGAGTTGTCTTATAGAGGGTGGCACTTGTTAAGAAACTGTTCTCCTGCTGTATTTGAAGCTTATTTAACAAATTGACAGTGGTTTAACATGGTCTGTACTCTTATTGACAATGATATTTGTTATTATTAAAAACTGGATCATTGGATAATGCAATTCAAGACTTTTTATTGGCTTAGCCGTTATGTTATATCAGCCAATATACCATAATCTAATATCTGTACAGCGGAACATGCGGTCTCTTCTCACGAAATAAAGTCGAGAAGATTTGTCTAATATCTTGGGGGCGTTTTTTTAATAAAACAATTATTCCACTCGCGCTTGTTGGATGTGAGATTGATAGATAGCCAACTTGGTGCTATGCGCCTCGTTGGCTATCTATCCTCTCATATCCAACGCGCGCTCATGGAATAATTGTTAATTATAGTGGACTCATGACGGGCAGTGGAGTCAAGTGAGTCTGCAACAAATTTTGACCTCTGTGATGATGAATATTGTTGTCAGTAAGAGTACAAATCACACTAGGCTACTATCGGTTTGTTTTTTAGCACAATATCTACATCAAAATTTCCAAGTAACTTATGCTTGACAAGACTGATAAAGCTATTGCTTGACATGTTGATGTGAGTAAATGTTGTCTGTACTGACTTATCGACAATGGCAAATTGGCCAGTCAGATTGGGAAATGACTGTCAATTGTTGTAAAAAATTAAAGAGACGACGGAAACAGGTTTTTCTTGCATCTCTACTATTACAGAAAGTGATGGAGAGGGGCACTGCACTAGTCTAACATTTTGGCCCAGGGAGTGGGTACTTATTTGGGGAAGGGTGCTTATTAGAGCATGGGCACTTCATATACAAATTCTATAAATTTATTTTTATTCTCTTTAATTTCTCCAATGGTGTGAATTGTACACCAAAATTATGCAATGAAAAATATAAGTTACTGTGCTTGTTCAAGAGCAAAAGACTCCATCTTATCCGTTTACCTTGTCTTTTAATTGGCCTGATATAGGATGCACAGTGCAATACTGAGGAATTACCTCAAAGAGGCTTATAAACTCTTTCATTCCTCAGAGCTTCATACTGTAGTCCATGGTTTATTGCAAAAGTTTTAAAGATAACAATTGGTGGGATTTAAGCTTGTGTAAAAAAGCAGATAAAAATAACAGTTTTTAGCTTTTAAATAAATATTATTCTAGGTAACCATCATGTTATATCTTTCCAGAGACGAGAACCTTGCAAAAATAGATAAAAGGATATCAGATTATAAAGTGGAAATACGCAATCCACCAAGAGCTGGAAAGAAGCTGCTAGTTCTTGATGTTGATTACACGATATTTGGTGTGTGAATCAGTATTAACTCAGTTTAAACAATAGCTCCACATTCCATTCTTGTCTCTCAATTAGCACATGGGTTGTGGTTGATCAATCAAAAGTTTGTTTGAATTAGAATCCTCCCCCTCCATTTGAAATCAGAATTCTAATAGATATCTTGCTAACCTTGTTTTTTTTTTTTGCTCTGATTTATGGCCTGCATGCTTTGTCTATAACTTACAGTATGAACTGCAGTTAATGAGAGGTATTGAGGAGGGCAATGTGAATTTAATTTCAGATCACAGATCAGTTGCAGAGACAGGTGTGGAACTTATGAGACCATATCTCCATGATTTCCTCACTGCTGCCTATGAGCATTATGACATCGCTATATGGTGTAAGTGTCTGAATAACCTGATGTTCCTAAATTTTAAAGAAAACATGTAATTGACAAAATCATCAAGAGGGTGAATTTGTTGTGCAAAAAATTTCTGCAGGAGCTTCTAATTCTTGCCAGGGATGTCCCTCTGCAGTTAGATAAAAGTTTGATTTCCTTCTTGAGAGGCCAGTGTTTGATTCTCCAAAGAAGAAATGTCACAAATTATCCAACTATGTCAGTCTGTGATGTAAAAGAAATTAGTGAAAAAATTTCACAATCCAACTATGTCAGTCTGTGATGTAAAAGAAATTAGTGAAAAAATTTCACAATCCAACTATGTCAGTCTGTGATGTAAAAGAAATTAGTGAAAAAATTTCACAATCCAACTATGTCAGTCTGTGATGTAAAAGAAATTAATGAAAAAAAAAAAAGCAAACTGCACTTGCTAAAAGAAATTTTGACTTGAGAAAAAATTTGAATATAATGATATAAACACAAAAGAAGTTGTCTCTTGTAAATACCATGGATAGAGCTTATTTTAGTGTGATAATGAATGAACTACATTGTATATTCTTTATTTCTCTGCCGTTCATGACATAGCTGCCACCAGTATGAAATGGATAGAAGCTAAAATGAAAGTAAGGAAATTATTTGAGTAAGTTGTATTCTGTGGTTTTAATATAATGCTAACATTCTCTAGTTATGGTAACTTCAGTTTTTAATAAACAGTGATTGTGAAGACTATCTATTGCACGACATAAGAAATCATGAATTCTTGATAACTACATCTTATTTATCTTAAATTATATCAAATTATAATGTCAATTATAATAATAATGGTGATAACGATGATAATAATGGTAGTAATTCATTATGATGATAATTCTTGTAATAATAATAATTATTAATGATAACATGTAGTTATAGCAACAACAACAATGATTACAATGATTATGATAATACATGTAAATGTTGAAATCAAAATTAATATTGATGATGATGATGACAATATCAGCTTATGATGATCATTTAATGCCTTGTATTTTCTTCAGGAACTTGGTATTTTAGACAATCCAAATTACAAGATTTCCTTCCTTTTGGACAGTGGAGCAATGATTACTGTTCTGTCAACAAAATATGGTCTTATTGAGGTAAAGTTATTTATTATAAGTTCAACTTTACTTGTACTTTTCTCAACTGCAAGTAAAGGGATATTAATGTGATTCATATCCAACATTATATTTTAATTTGATAACCACGATGCATGCATCTGTGGTATTCTATGTTTCAAAATTATTATCATAGGACCAAAGTGGCCCCATGCCTGATTATATTGAAAAGCATTTTATGTACAAACATACTTGTGCGAGGGCCATACCCCAGGGCATAAGGAGGGGTGATAAAAGTAACATGGCCTATTGAACAGCTTCAGTAAAAGTTAGAGGAAAGAGAGGGAGAGAAGTGATAAGATGCATGTTAACTGAGTTATGGTGAGCTAAATGGGAAAATATTTGGCTCCTGATTATGACATACTGTACAAACCTCAAGCCAAAAATTTCCTGTTTGGCCCTCACACTGAGTAAATAAGTACATTTTCAAGTCTGACTAAAACACAGCTCAGGCCATCAAAATGTTGTGAGATAATTCTGAGCAAGTTCTGATCTTGGATGCCTTATGTCACTCAGGTTTATACTGATTCTGTAATAAGATGTTCTTAGAGGATGGAGTGTAGTGTGGAGTAGGAAATTTTGGTGGCTCTGTTTCACTAAATAAATGCAATCTTTGGAGTAATCAAGACTTGTTTTCATGTAGACTAAGCCACTAGGTGTCATTTGGGGAAAGTTTGAGGAGTACACCAGCAAAAACACTATTATGTTTGATGACCTCAGAAGAAACTTCCTCATGAATCCTCAAAATGGCTTGAAGGTATGACTAAGTATTCTGCAAGGCTTTGCTCTAAGTAATATTATTCTTTCTTTATCACAATAATCACTGAATTGCACCTGTTGACAATTTCCTTCTTATAAATTAGTAATTAGATTAAAAAACAGTGTATGATGTTAAATTTAGGTTACTATCTATTGTTTTCTGCTTGATAACTAGCAAGTTATTTACAAAAACTTTACAGTTGTTCACATGCTGATCCTATTTTCCTTCATGTCATTTTGTTTTAAGATTAGACCCTTTCGAGAAGCCCACAAAAATAGACACAAAGACAAAGAACTTTCAAAATTAACAAAGTACTTGAACAAGATTGCCAAACTGGATGATCTCAGCGATTTAAACCACAAGCATTGGGAGAGGTTTGTATATATTAAAAATATATACAGTACACATATCTCAAGAGTTTTTTAAATTTTTTTTTGAGAGTTTTTAAGAAAGTTATTTGTCTTTTTTTAATAGATTTTTCTAATATTGAAAGTTTATGAAAATTATATTATTTTCTTCCTCTTAGTCTAGCACATACAGATGTATACTAACATTTAGATGGATGTAGAACCAGTAGCTAGTGATTTTGCTTTGTATAATTATATTGAATGATTAATTCCCCCAAAATATGCAATCCTGTAGTAATCTGATGTTTTTTAAGTGCCCAGTGCAGCAACAAACCCTTAAATCTTTTTATTTGAAATGTTTTCTTGCAGTTTTTGAAATCTTAAATCTAATACATCGGTAGTAATATGAAACTAAATTTTAGTTCCATATTACTACTGAATGATTGATTTTCCCTTGTAAGTGACCAGAAATTTGGCAAGATAAGCTAAATAATATAATGCACTGTCTAATGCAGATTTGTACATCAATTACTTCTTTATGTGACCATGCAATTGAAACAAGATAACTTGCATAATGGACACTGAATAAAATAGATGGACTCTTAATGTTTTGAATTACTTGTTTTTTAATTCATACAGTAGATTATTTTCTCTTAATACTGATGAGTGTGATACATTCTTTTTCAGCTACAAGCCATGAAAAGTAATTTACTCTGTTGATTTAAGTGAAACTAATATGAAGATAATGCCAGGAAGTCAGAACAAGCTGAATGAGAGAAAATTTTCTTGATAGCATAACTTTTGTACATAACTTTTATTTTGTATGAATTTTAAAGCTTTAAAAACAATGTTGACTGTGCCCTCAACTTGCATGGTAATTGAACAAATATACATCAGCCATCCTGGGTATCTGGCATTGAAAATACCTCTAGAATGTTAGCTATTAATTTTATGCACACCTTTTTTATAGTCAACCTGAAGTTAAATATAGGTGGTTGTTTACATTTTCATCAGTTTAATGGTGCAAATACTGGTTTCCAGTTTTTTCTTTTTTTTATCAGGTTTCATAAATAATTGAAGCTTACAGTTGAAAGCTCCGTGTTGCTTGTTACTTTTAGGGTATAAATTGTGTCTCTGCACCTTTCTACTCTCTACAAAATAGTAACAGTAACTGTCAATTTATTTTTATTATTTTGTTTTATTTGAGTAAACAGTTCCCCCATAAGCCCTCTGTTTATGGAATAACATGTACCTCTTACAATAAGTGAACACAAAATATCTTAGACAGGCAAATGTTATTCCTTACTCTTGGTTACATCCCAGCCTCTTTCTTGGTAACCCCAAAAAGAGGGGGACCAGAAGTATCAAGTGATACTAGACTAAGTGTACCAACACTAATGTTTTCATCTACTGAAGTATGTGCACAAACCATTTATTAAAATAATGTGATTGAAATAATGTGGAGGCTGTAGGTATGTTCAAGAAGAGTAGCTACACTGATTAATTTAACAATTATTGTGTGGTGACCATAGGGTTAATCTATTCTGACTCTTGTCTATTGGGACGAAGTGGGAAAAGGTACTTCGCCATCAAATATTATAGTGAAAACATTACCACCCCTCGCATCCCCTCTCCGCTATACCAACAGGCCAATACCTGCAGGCATGTGTAGAACTGTAGTGTCACTTGTTCTCTTCTTAAAAAAATGACCCACTCCTCCCAGTAGGAAAGTTTGTTTATATTTTCTCCCATGCATCTAAACATTCAACATGCGCCTGAAATTTTAAAAGGATGATCTGCTATTCAAAAAGAACAGCAAAATACTAAATATTGTAAGCAGTATATTTCAGTATATTCTAAAAGAGTGCCTGATAATAATTACCAAGTGTGTTTTGGTTTGCACTGAAAAAACGATTCTAGAGTGGGAACGAATAGCAAAGGGGAATTATTGTAGAGTGGGAAAGAATGGCAAAGGGAATGCCGTAATGAGGAATATGCAAGCAGATCATACAAAGGGAATAGTGTCAGGGTAATGGACTGCTTGCTTACCATGTCAGGGTTTGCTTTGTACCCCAAATTCCAAAATGGCAGGACAGACCAAGCATAATACATGCATCATGCACAAGACATTTAGAGTGTGGAGCTGACCACAGCAGACCATTAATAACACAGTGGGGAAATCCACCTAAAATTTTTTTTGCTCTGATGAGGGCTTAATCAAAAAGTCAGCTTTAGAATTCTTTACAGTAGCAAATTTATATTATCAACCCAGTTAATAAAACCAAATTATCTTGTCATAACCCCCACCAGTTTCGTGAGAAACTTACCCCTTTCAACCAAAAGCATACTCACATTTCTTTTGACTTAATTTATTATAGCACCACGCTACTACATGTACAATCTAAAACAGAGTTTGTTGAACTTCTATTTAATAGTTTAATTGTGTTGAAAGACACACCTTTGCAGATGAACCAATGAGTATTCAAACATATGCCAATTCATACATTAGTACAGCCGCTGACGTAGTCAGTCTTGTAACTTAATTAAAAAAAATAGCGTTAATCCTTTCATTTATGTTTTCTGCAAAAATTTGTTGGTAATTGTTTCTGTTTTAACTCTGGAATTCCCATGATTCTGCGAAGAAATTCTCCCGTTAAGCTTCATCGCGCATGTCATGATTGCGCGTTCGTCTCAGATGATTTTTCTCCAAGTTGTATCTGCCGTCCCGTAAAACCAGTCTTGTAACCTTGATTTCTTTCAAAGATAGTTTGTGGTATTCCTTCCCTGTATTTCAAACTCTGAACCTTTGTCGGATCATCTAGGGAATCGATCTGCCGCAGGGTTCGTTCTTCCATAGTACTTGGTTTTTCCTTGGACCATTTTTCGTTTGTCCTCCATCGATTTTCCACAAAATAGCCGACAGAACCGACGACTACAGCAAACGGTAAAACAACATAAGGAGCGTACGTTCGTGCAGCAGCTAAAATAATAGGCCAAACCATGATAGAAAAGAAGTAATCGCTTCTCTCAAAAATTTGTAAAGTTCTGGAAGTTTGATCAACTGAGCAACATGGCGGAGGATGAACGAGTGGGACCTGGGAGTTATTGGTTACCAGTTGGCCCTTGACTGTTTCGAAGACGCCTGGCGGAAAACAATAGGAATGGATAAAATCAATATGGCGAACGACTGGTTACTTTGATGATGATGTTGAATAGTCAAGAATTTTTCTGTTTAAAATATGATTAGAAAGGGATCGATGAGTCCTAAAAACATTTTGATGCTGAGTTTCGTGCTCTCTCTTCTTGGATTTTTATGGTTTACAAATCAATGCCTTGAAGGTACGTGGTCTGTTATTTCAAGAGCCGGCTCTGTAGAATTTTAACGCCCCAGTCCTTTCTTTGTGGTCGATTACAAAGAAAGTACTATTTCATCGAGCTAGTCTTGTATTTTTTTTCAAATATCTTTATGTTCAGGGCCATTCACTGAATAGAGATTTATCCAGAAAATAACGTTCTCCGTAACCTTCCTACAACCAGGGCCAGAGTTTGTTCCTGTAGCGGAGGGTCTCTGTCTAAGGCATAACCAGAGTACTGTAGCTTAGGGTTTTTGTTATAAGGGATAAAAGTCTGCATGATCACCCATCCCCTAGTCATCAAACTAGTCACTTCATTGGGTTCAAGAACTGTTTTATTATTAATTTGTCCCTTTTTTTAAACAATGTATCTTCTAGAATCAGTTAGCTCAAGTGATATGGTAAGGATGAGCCACATGCTTAAAAAACTGGAAAAGAGAGAGCTCTCATTAAAAGAAAGAGAAGAAGAGATCACGAAGAAACTAAAGATCCTAAGAATAAGCAAAATTGACAGTCTGTATCAAGAAGGCTTTGATGACATGCCAACTATTTATTTTATCACCCCTACTTATAAAAGACTTACACAAAAGGCTGACCTAACAAGACTGTCTCACACACTGTTACATGTCCCTAAACTTCACTGGATACTAGTTGAAGATTCTGACAAGAAAACAGATCTTGTTTCACGTTTCTTGAAATCTTGTGGTGTTAGTTATACACATCTTGCAGTAAGAACTCCAAAGCAGCTCATAACTAAAGAAGGAGACCCAAGGTGGTTAAAAGCCAGAGGTGTAGAACAGAGGAATTTAGGCCTTAGATGGATAAGGCAAAACTTTAAGGATGATATGAAAGGTGTTCTATATTTTGGAGATGATGACAACACCTATGATTTGAGAATATTTGAACAGGTAAGCCACATCTCAGGGGCGGATCTAGGAATTTTTGATTGGAGGGGGTCCAAACTTTGGTTCAGAAAGGACTGTTGGACTCTTGAGGCAAATTACTTCTCCCCCACGCCCCCTCCCACCAGTCGTGGTTGCACATTATAATTTCTTGGCCATTTATCGTTTACTTGGATTCATTAAAAAAGTAATATAATTTATGATCCCATTAAAAAGTAATATATGATCCTGTCAATGTAAGAATTTCAGTCTCAAAGTTGTAAGTGTCAGGTCAGATAGGGGGGGTCCAGACTCCCTGGACTCTCCCCCTGGATCTGCTACTGCATCTAAAATTAAATTTAGTAAATCATGAATTCTTGAGTGGTTAGCAAGTTAATGTAAGTAACTGGTATCACCACTGATATCGAGTAGTTCCACAAATGTGCAAGGTGCATGTAGGGTCATCAGACACTGAATCATGACTAGTTGGAGATCTCTTCTGTTGGATTAGTCACTGCTGGTCAGAGGACCCCTAGATCAACTTGAATATAGAATTAATTATCTGAAGAGATCCAAATCATAACTTTTAACTGTTCTACTCTGTTTATTATCCTGTAATTCCTTTTTAAAAGGAACTAAAGAGCATTTCATGATTTCTGCTTTTTATTTTTAGTAATTGTTATATAGTTACATTTAAACAAAAATTGTTTTTAATTTTTAGTGCACTCCAAAGTAGCTATTTTATTGAATGTAATCTGACAGTTCTGTTTTAATTTTTCAACGTCTTCTAGATGCGATACACAAAGAAAATATCAGTTTGGCCCGTAGGCCTGGTGGGTGGGTTAAAGTGGGAAGGACCAATCTGCAAAGATGGATCTGTTGTCAAATTTTACACAATGTGGGAACCAAGACGCCCAATGCCTGTTGACATGGCAGGGTTTGCTATTAACGTCCAACTGATTATAGACAATCCTGAAGTGGAAATGGACCCAATGGCCAAGAGGGGCTATTTGGAGTCTTCTGTTGTTGGTAGACTGGCAAAGAGGGAGGAGTTTGAGCCATTGGCTAATAATTGTAAACAGGTAAATTAAGTCTTGTGGGTCAGATAAAGATTCAGAACTGGTACTATCATTAAATTAAGACATCACTAATTTACGTTATTTTTTATGGACATGTATCAACTTAAGAGGTCTTAACTGAGTATCATTATCATTTTGATAGACTGGACACTGATTGGTTGAAATATTTATTAGAAATTTTGCTCTGTTAAGGTAAGACTATTAATGTCCCTGATTGTACCCCTGATTCTTAGCTAGTCTGCATGGCCTGTGTTCCAAAGGGTGGGAGGTAGGTTATTTGAGCACAAAGGGCAACACAGGGATCTGCAACCAGACCCCAATGCCAGCACTTGTACAAATTCCCCCCCCCCCCCCACCTCCTGTTGGTATGCTGACCACTCAGGCTACCTGCTTTACCACCTGCATTTACCATTCCACTAAACCTTCTATTTGTAAATCCTACCCTTCAGTACTGATGGCTAACCTTAACAAGCCCCACTTTCCTCTTTTGAAAAATTAAGAACTCTAAATTAGCTGTTATTAAAACAAGCGGAACACGGTTAAGATTCCGTGGAAGAGTGTAGGTGACTGAAACTGGACGGTGTCAATTGAATTATACAACATCTTGTTGTTTTACACGATGATCGTAACTACAAAATTCGTAAACATTTTTTTTTTCAGCACAACTCTATTTTTTTGTTTACAAAGGGGACCATAGAAGGGGTTAACTTAATGCGTTTCTGAGAGATCCTCTCCTTTTTCAGTCCTTACACATGCACACATCGTCAAGTGTAACTTGATTTCTTTGGTTTTTCGGAGGTGATTTACGTGAATTACGGTCTTTTCGTCCAAGTCTCTTCGTCCAAAAGTTTTTTTCATCTAAGTCTGTTCATCTAATTGTTAAGTCTTTTCTGGAAGCAAATAAGTAGCTTTTAGAAGGCTATATAAGGCTATCTAAAGAACTTATTAGTGCGGACCGTTGCTATTTTGGTTCCGATAGCTTTAGTCACCAATCCTCGTTTACGAATTCAACGTCGTTAATTACGATAAATACACAGAGAAGATGCTTATTTGGGGTTATTTTGGGCTTAGTTTTATTTCTTTACCATTTTTGGCTTAGTTTTATTTCTTTATCATGTTGGACTATGTTGTTGATTATGTTGAACACTTAGTGATGTTACCCTTAGTTGTCTATTACGCCCAATCGACGATTAACAACAAGCCTAATAGTCCCATTTCTTTCGCGCGAAATAATTAAACGGCAAGTTTTTATTTTTGTCACTATTTAATAAAATATATCGTGTTACAACTTCATGTAAAAAAATATTATAACTTTGACGAAAGACTTGAAATTGGACGAATGGACCTAAGAATTTAGAAGAAAAGACTTAGACGAAAAGACGCTTGGACGAAAAGACCAGATACCGATTTATTTGTAGTCGCTTGCAGAGGATTTTTGTTCGATTAAATTTTTGTTTTTTTTTTTCTGACAGATTCTCGTGTGGCACACGCAAACAGCCGAGCCAAAAATGAAACAAGAAGATAAATTGAAAAGAGTGGGACGTGAGTCTGATCCATCCATGGAAGTCTAAACATTGGTTACCCGCTAACTATGCTGGTTTTGTATCAAAGTTTTATTTAACTGCTTGTGGCAAATTAATGACCGGCGATATCTTTGTACTCCAAACTGACAATTTAACGAGTTCTTAGCCAAATTTTAAACTGAAATGACAAGTTAAGTATTTTGAATTAAAATGAGGCTATTTTGGAGGAAGATTATTAACAAATACATTTCACACACTAGTGGCGGATAAGTTGGAGTTTGGTTTTGTTTGAGGGCGCGTTTCAAGTGTGAGTCAAGTTTCCGACTATGAGCAAGTGGCTGCACCTTCCGGTAATGACTATGGAGAAGGTCTCTTTTCCGCTCTAAGCGTTTGTGTTACTTTTCGTCGACGTATGCATTAGATCAGTGGTGCTGAATTGTGCTTTGAGTAACTAATACGGATATGTGCGTCTCTCATTTTGAAAACGACCTGGTGAAGCGCGAGGATTTTCGTGTAGGGCACGAGGCCACGCGACATTTCTTTATACTGTACAATCCATGCGCGGTTTGCCTACTTCAGTAACTCGGTGTTTTCATTACAAATAGCGATATACTTTTGCCCTGGATGAAGACTTTGGTCTCGCCTCTTCAACTGTTATAGTCGTAGAAGTTAAACGACATGAGTTTTGGAGCCTGTGCAGGCGCAATTCAGTATATGCTGGAAGGAGCTGAGGAAGAGCGCACGAATCCAACATTGATGGAAATTAAGAACATGACCTAGAAATATAAAGAAATTCTTTTGTAGAGAGATAAGGTGTTAATGTGCTAGCATCCTCTCAAATTTGAAAATAACCCTCAGCAAACTCCCAGGAGTGCGCAATATTTGAGTTCTCCTAATAATTCACTGTCAGGCAGACAGACTGGAATATCGATCTATTTTGGCACTGGGTTCTCAGGAAAAGCCGATAAGGAAATTACGGGGATTAAACTCTCAGATCTTGGAAGTAAAAAGGTTCAGTGTACGTTGAAGTGAGGGCTCACTGGAAAGGATACTGAGGACCGTTTTCGAAGCGAAAACAGGAAAGGATTTAAAAAGAGTCTTTAGGTATTATAACTTGTTTTTATTTTATTTCAAGTGTCTTCTCTTTCTCTTGCGCTAATCAAACTACTTGACAATCAAATTTTCTTTTCGTCGCTTTAGCGTTCATGATCTTTATGCAGATCTTTATATCAATTTGACGAGCTTAGTGGCATGGTTGATACCCCTCTTTGAACTCTTATTGGGAAGTTTCCTCATCCGTGAATATGGTTTTGGGAATATTGTTCTATTCTCGACTTGGCCTACAGAACAGCTATGGAAGGAAATATGCTGTGACTGTCATGCGGCGAAAATGATGTGTCACCAACATTGTGAACTGGAGTGTGAAACGGCTTGTCTTGGTCGGAAAAGGTTGAATTCACTGAAAGAGAATGTTAAGAATATTGGTTACTTTTGAACGCCAACCACTACCCTGACCACTAAGGTTACATTCTTTCCCACTTGCGAGTTTCTTTCTCCTAAACTTTTAGATTGTTGAATTTCCCAACATCTAAACTTTACATTTCATTGAGACATTGTGATAATGGACATCAATCCTATAGGAAGTCATTAACAGCACTCCTTGAATTATTAGGGACCTTACGCAATCAGGACGGCAACGCTAAGGAAGACTTCGATTAAAAAATGAATTTCTACTCTTAGTTAGAATTTAAAAAAATGGTTGCAGGAGCTTACTGTCTTATACGGCGCCACACCTCAACTTCAGCATGACGTATAAAAGTAGCGTTGAGTTCCAAATGGAAATTAAAATAATTTGCCGTCGCGGTTTCGGTTCGCAGACGACGCAAATTTTGGCGATTTCACGTTGTTGTTTTGCATAGGACGGCTAAGAAATGTACAAAGTCTCAAAATGCACGTGCTGAGCTGTTGTTCTGCCAATTAGATCTCTTGTTTTTCCACGTCCTCGTTGCCGTCGCCGTCGTGGTTGCGTAAGGTCCCTATTTATTTTGTTAGTGTGTCATTTGAATGTCTACATAATTTCCAACTGCGTGGAAATGAGTCTCGAAAAGGATTCTTAATGACTGAGTAAATTGTATCAACATTCAGTTAACTGTAATTACAAACTTATTTCTACCTTTCTTCTCTGACGCAGTCGTATTGACCTAGTATTTAAAAAACTTTTCTTTTTACCTCTTTTGGCACTAAATTATGAATATCTACACTCACCACGGCACGCATCATCTCTGATGCTGGTGTACAACTCATTTAGCCGATTGAAGTCTGCAGTTAGCGCATACTTGATGTCTGGTTTAGTTGCAATCACTTTGAGTTGCCCCATGTCGTAGTTTCGTCCAATTCCAATGGCGAATACAGTGATGTTTGCATCGTGCAGTTGTTGGGCGGGTAGTGTTACATTGTCACTTGATTTTCCATCTGTCATAACTATGAGAACTTTAGGAACCTCTGGACGGCCTGTTTCGTCAAATAGTTTACGCTTTACATAAGTCAATGCTTTCGCCGTCAAGGTACCGCCTTTCAGGTAAGGCGCTTCTTCAATCGCCTTCATCATTTGTTCCGCATCAAAGAATTGCTTCAACGTGAAGACAGTTTCGGTCTGAAAAGCACGAGATAGAGATAGATCTATTAAAAAAGCGGTACTAGCGCAATAGCTATAGTCGACATCTTCACTACCGTCACTGCCATCGTCGTCTTTGATATTGTCATTGTTATCATCGACTTTGCCTAGTCATGATTTTAACCTTTGTGATTTTCTCTATCGCCTTGAGCGTCATCGTTAGCGTCATCGATATCTTTATTACTGTCACCGTTATCATCGTCATCGTTATCATCATCGTCATCGTCGTTGTCATCGTTATCGTCATCTTTATCATCGTTAATCGTTATCGTCATCTTCATCATCGTTAATCGGTATCGTCATCGTTATCTTCAGTACTGTCTTTGTTACTTTTGTCATCGTTATAATTAGTGTCATCGTTATCGTCATCGTTATCATCGTTAATAGTTATCGTCAACGATATCTTCATTACCGTCTTTGTTATAATCGTCATCGTTATCATACTTATCGTCATCGTAATCATACTTATCGTCATCGTTTTCGTCATCATCATCATCGTCATCACTATCATCGTTTTCGTCGTCGTCACATCGTCGTGATCGTGGTCGTCATCATTATCATCATCATCAGTCCTAATATTATCCTCTCATGTCATGAAAAATGCGGGGAAGGGGGAGTAGAATTTATTTTATTACGTTAGATTCACTAGCGGGCGACTGTCGTACAGCACAATCAGAAACTGCCTTAACTGTACCTCTAATTCGATAACTTAGTTACCTCTACTTGTACTTATCAGTACAACAAACCTTTGAAGAAAACAAGACCACTCCCACATGTGTAAAGGTCTCCGAGATAAATGAGCGGTTCACAGCATTTTTGATAAATTCCAAACACTTTTTGTAGTTTCCTTTGCCGTATTTTTCAATGCTTCCTGAACTGTCCACCAGGAATCCAATGTCTATCTTGGCCTTACATTCTGGGCAATGACAACAACATGGAAATTAGCAATACTTTGTGATCGTTAAACACGAAGGCGCGCTATATAAGGAAGTCTTCCCTGGGGAGACCTAGGCTCATTTGTCACTCACCGTTGAGGAGTGCGGGCCAAATTCAAATGCTGGTAGACGAACAAAAGGAGCTAATGAGATATCTATTGTTTACTTCCACCAGCATGGTGGCATGAGGTAACGTGCGAACCACCTACTTCGATCGCAAATTTACCGCCACAAATAAAGACAGTTTCCATTGGAGAAAGGAAATACAAATCTCAAAAATTCTTGTATTGTGATGAAGACATAAAACAATTCTGAAGAATGCGCCCGCTGTTCACTGCTTTGGAGTAGCTTTAGCTCAAGCTGACTTGACTCTAAGAGTTCTACATCACACGACGGTTGATTGACAAATGGTCCAGTGGGACATAAGGCTCCTTTTATAGCGCGCCTTCGTGTTTAAGGTCAATATTAAAAGCCTGAACGAGAATATAAGACGCTATACAAAAAACTTAAAATACATACTAGTTGTAAATGATATGAATTAAGTAGCGCAGATGAAAACGTTCTTGTCTTCTCAATTCAGACTGCGTCGCGTAATTAGATCCTTTTTGACTAATTCGAAACTCGCTTTTAAAAAACAAAATTAAAAAAAAATTAAAACTCCTGAACACTTGACATGGTTCCAGAACATCAAAGAATCCTTTAAAGGCTTATCATTCACATTTATGTAATGTTCATTAAATGACTTACTACAAAATCCACAAGTGAGAGCACAGTGCTTATTCATTCCGTAAGGGTACGAGTTGCAGAAGTCATTCTGTCTGTAGGCTTTGCAATATGCCTCGTAAGCTTTGTCATCCCGACAGGTTTCATCTAACAAAAAAAATAAAAAAACAGATGAATAGAAATGGAGTAGATAGAGGAGCAAAGAAAAGAATAGGCTAAGAATTTAGTCTAGCCGACTGCGAAGGTATTGCGCTATATCATTAAGGAAGCAGGTTCTCGGACACCTTGTGAACATTGTGTCTCTAAAAACTGCCAGCTATGCTGTTTCTAGATAGAGCAGACACAATCACACATTCAATTAAATTTTGTACGAGTGAAATCTGTATGGGAGAAAGGAATTTCATATCGTTCCAATTTAGAGCCGCGGCAGTTTTGGCTTAATCATATCCATGATATGATTGGTTTTAAAGAGATTGCTTTCTTCAGTTGAGTTTCATTTGTAATCTAGAATTGCATTTGTTTTGCTTCTCCCTGACCTGTTTGGTCTCAAAACTCGCACTTTGTTCTTAACTAATCAGATGGGAAACTCAAACCAACCGCGACACGATCATTTCAGTTTTCTTGCTCCAGTGATCGTTTACAAGCCTTCACTTTGCGTAATTTCTCATCAGTTCCTTGTGACGTTAAGCTAACTTAAGATTGGCCACATTGACGAGATAGCTACTGCGGTTTTGTTTTGCCACACTCAATCGAAACAGAACTTTTTAGCTCGTCTCGACACGATTCTTCTTTCGATCGTTTGCTGAGCGTACCAATAGTAGTCAGAAGCGACGAGGTTCAATTCGTCAAATTGGGGACTCGGGTTCTTAGATCATGAACTATCTGGCGCAAATTAAGAATTAAGATGACTTACATTCCGTTTTCACATTATATGATAGAGGAGGTGACTTCACAGTTTTTACGCTACAAAAAAAGGAACGTTCGCTTAACTTTTCTCTACAAGCTCAAGCACAAGAAAGCTATTTTTGTTAAAGAATATTCTTTTTGTTGAACTATTTTATGGAAAAAACCTACTCTTTGGCACATCTTCTCTTGCACTTCCAGCATCTGTACCTTTTTAAAAATAGTCGAAAGGGTAAATTAAAGTAGAGTTACGCACTATCAAAGAAAATCATACTTTACAAGTAAGCGCACCTTTGATCATCTATCGCAGGAGAGTCCTATCGTCGAAGCGCTATTATAAATTCTGTTATCTTAATTACTTTTTTTATTAGTTTATCCCTTTAACCCCTACTAGCTGGTAACTAGCATCTACTTTCTCCTTACAACATCACCCCTGAACAGTTTTTTGAATATGCATACTGATGTAAGGGTGTAATAATAGTAATGATAATAATTTTCACTGCTAATCGCCGTCGCAAAGTACAGCAACGACGCAGCTCAACAAGGTCGAGCCGAAAGCTTACAATGGGGCCTCTGAAAATAATAATAATAATGATAATGATAATGATAATGATAATGATAATGATAATGATGCTGAGGCATACTGGGATGTACCAGTATATGCTGATCATACATATGTACGATCTAATCGTGTGGATGCACGTTTCATCGACCACAAAAACAAGAAGGTACTTATGGTGGAAATGAGCTGCCCTTGGATCAACAACAGAGACATGAAAGACAAAGAAAAGACCAAGAAGTATGGAGCACTTAGACTTGAGCTGACGAAACAATACCCAGGATACAAGATCTCACAAGTAAACGTCATTATAGATGTACTTGGAGGATGGTCTAAAGCTATGGAAACTGAAATGAAGGGCTTCTTTGGTACAAGATACAAAGAAATATTGCTGAGAATGCAGATAGCTGTATTAAGTAGCACTCTGAACATTACAAGAACATTTAAACTGGTTACATCGTAAGAATTTTAAGGACATTATGATTTGGTTTTTATGAACAGTATTTTATGAACATTTTAAGTTAAGGATATTTTAAGAACCGAATAGTAAATCATGAACATTTAAAAAAAAAAAAAGAAAACATCTTAGTATTGGGCCAATTGATACTTTTATCGTTTTAAATTGATCATTTATATTGAAGTAGTATTAGATATTATTATAGTTAACAGTCCTGTCATGCAGATAGGCTACGAATTTTCGCCCTATCTTGCTTAGCTCACTAGCATCCAAACGTGTATACTGCATAATAATAATAATAATTTGATATTTATATTGCGCAAATTAACATGTGGATATGATCAAATGCGCATCACAACACTTTTCGGGGGACTTTGGCCGGACTGCATCAGCAGTTTACAAGCAATCGAAGGAAACTTATATGAAGATGCCCCCTCCCCCCAATTCCCAGGCCACACCACATCACAGTAATCTCGTGAGTGGGTTTTTTAACTTCCTCTGCCTAACCAAATTAACTAATTAATAAATGCAGGAGACGGGACCTACGGTTTATTCGTCCTTATCCGAGAAGATTAGAATGTTTATCCATTTCTTGATATTATAGAAAGGTAGCGCATTCTCCTCAGTTATTTTAAGACCTTGAGTGTTGGTCCGGCCGGGGCTCGAACCATCGACCTCGACCTCCTGCACAAGATTCCAGCGCTCTAACCAATTGAGCTAACTGGGAGGCAGTTATACGGCAGCCGCTATACGGTCCATGTGTGATCTTGGAGCAGAGCTTACAGCCGGCTGGTATCAGCTGTAGGTTGGTTTTTGGTGAGGGAGAAAAACCGGAGAACCCGGAGAAAAACCCTCGAAGCAGAGAAGAGAACCAACACAAACTCAACCCACTTATGGCGTCGGGTCCGGGAATCGAACCCGGGCCCTATTAGTGGGAGGCGAGTGCTCTCACCACTACGCCATCCCTGCTTCCCTTAAAGTAAAGTGTAAAGGTTTAAGGCCGTGTTTTGGAGGCTAAACATCCATCATTTCATCCAGCACATATCAAACCAGTTCAAGAAATTCGAAATGATAGTAAACATTGTCCGTTTAACTAAAATTGCACATATAACGGTAGAAATTCGAGCTCATTCTTTTTAATCTTACGTGCAGCCTCCAGACTATGATGTATGGTTGACCTAGAGTTCTCGTTCAGTATAGTGCTACTTTTTCTTGCAGTACTTGAGTCAGCGATGTTCCAGTTACTTGCAAAGGCGTCTAAAAAAATGGTTTCATCAGAAAAAACTTGCATAGGCGTAAAAAAAACAAAAACAAAAACAAAAACAAAAAAAACAAATGGTTTCATTAGAAAAAAATTGAATTGCCGTCTTAAAGAAATGGTTTCGTTAAAATAAACATAATAACTGTCAACAATTTGGTTTGTGTGCTGGGCCGTATTCCAGATGTATATGTTACAGAAACCTGCGGAGGGAAATCTCCAGAATGTCATTGGCGTCGCTGGTATGTTGAATTGAGAAAGCATTATTGCGATGGCAAACTGATTTTGTCTCAGTGCGTTATACTACCCAGCTTGTAGGTAGTTTTATATCTTTATACGATGTGTATCAATTTAGATTTTCTTTTCATCGTCGTGGTTCTTACCTTTAGTGAAGACTGCTATAACAGATAATAAAAGGCAACCATAAAAGATGGAAATCGCCATTTTGACAATCTGTAATAATATCAAAATTTTTTTAGGTCACTTAAGTCGTGATAATAAAACGGACATTCGACAAATGTCCACATTATTCACAAACAGAATTAATGAAACAAAATGTATTAATACAAGCTTTCTTATCGAGAAAACTAGATGAGGCAATTTTGAATTGAGTAGTTTACAAGTTAAGTTCGAAGATCACCAAAAAACTCAAGACTCTATAGTTGATGGCCTTAATGTATTCGTAAACGAATTTATTGTTATCATACGTGTTTGTTGCTTTTCCTTTGTTACTACTCAACACAGTCAAGTGATTATGTAACGATAATGACAGTGTTTGTTTTCAGTTTGGTTTTACCAGCAGTGCTTTTTTGAATTAGTTACATTACAACTTAACAGTTCGTGTTGTACTTACACTAGTGTGAGGCTAACGATAGTACAAAAAATCTGCTAACTGACCTGTTTTGGATCGTTTGCTGTTTCATGGAGTGAACAATGGAACCGTGGCTCCTCGATGTTTGCCTAAGACACCTTACAGTTTTGTGGGAGAATTGATAAATAATTATCAATTTAAGGGGGAATGGTTGGATCTACGTGTGGTGTATTCAAAGATTGGCAGGAAGTCACAGGTATTGTCACAAATCACTACCGGTGCTTCCTTGTAATAACCCTTTACAGCTAACATCGGTATGCATATTCTCCATATTGTTCTTTGCCAATTTTCCAAGGTGCTGGCAAGGAGAATTTGCTTAACAATCAATAGCTTCTTTAGTTTAATCTCGTGACCTTTATGTTTGATTCAGGGATGACATTGATATCAAGGGTAAAAGGATTGAAGCGATCTCGGTGTAACTGAGTTTGGTTGCTCGGAAAAAACTTCAACTAACCAGGGTCTGGAGGAAAGATTTTGAACTCAGGAGAGAAAAATGACGTACGTTTTTCAGAATGATTAGGTTCTTGCAACTTTTCGTGAAATTATTTACCCAAGACTTTAATTCGTCAGTTCTCTCAATGCGATGATCATAAATTTACCTTAACTAACAGGTCGAAACTGGCCAATAAAAACTCGCATGAGATAAGCTTGCAGCCAATAACGCCTCGGCAAAACTGACCAATCAGTTTTCAGAGCTGTACTTCGGTAGAACGCTCGACTGTCAAAAAACTCTTCTCTCGGCACCATGGCCAATGATAACTTCCACTTATAAGTGGTTGAAACTTCAGGTAATGTCATAGACGATACTTCTTGTCAAGAATACCGCAACCAGCAAGATTGAACATAACGATCACCTCTTATTTTCATTTTAGAACATTTCCAGTGAGGATTTCACTGCTGCTTGCGACCATAAGATGACCTTTACATTTACTTCGAACTAGGAACTTAACTAAGTGTCTATAAATACTTTAATAAGTCAACTGACTTTCAGTATTTACAACGCCTTGCATTGATCGTATTATGAACGAAAAAATTTTTTCGGGAACTAAGCTTAAAAAAGAAACCGTCTGAATTAATTTCGCGATCGAAAGTTAACCTAGGCTAGATACAAACTATAGCTATTGGGTTTCAGTCTTCTTGTCTAGCTAGAGACGTTAAATTTTTTGCCGCTAATTTGTGGGTAGAGCAGGAAAGTCAGTACATCACGACTTTTCTGCACAAAGATATCGAGTTTTTCGTTCATAAAAATTGCTTCAGGCGCTCAGATTGCGTAGTTAACAGAAAAAATCATTTCATGATCAGTTATCAAACAGAAATGTAAACCTTGACGAGAAAGATGTTCTTGAAGTTACTTACACTGTGTTTCAATATATCCTTTACGACAAAGAGTAGTTTTAATCACAGCAGTCGTTCATTCATTTGACAAATTTTTATCAAAGTATTTTATTGCCGCCACATTTCTATCTTACGAAAGTCACGTACAGCTCTCTCTCTCTCTCTCTCTCTCTCGCAGACGATTTTACCAACAGAACCACTTGGAAAGAGTTAACAAATTGTTATGATTTACGTGAATTTTCTGAAATTGCAATTAACTTGAAAGGAAATAAATGACACTTCTGTTGCAGTTATTATAAAGATTGTTAGTATAATGAAAGGAAATAACTCAATTTGAGATGCTTTTCTAAGTATAATTAGATAAATTGTCGACTCTTCGATTGTTGTTAAGCTTTCTTTAGATCTACGGAAACCGCTGATTTTCTCGTGTCTGTCTCTATGAGATCGGAGTCATATTTCGTGATGTTAGATGTTTCGTGATTTTAGTTATTAGAAAGATTGTTAGTATAATGAAAGGAAATAACTCAATTTGAGAGGCTTTTCGAAGTATAATTAGATAAATTGTCGACTCTTCGATTGTTGTTGGGCTTTCTTTAGATCTACGGAAACCGCTGATTTTACTCGTGTCTGTTTCTATGAGATCGGAGTCATATTTCGTGATGTTTTTATCAATTCCAGACTAGACTAAATTGTCATGCTTTAACTGTTTACTTTTGATTAAGCAAGGAAATTTCAGGATTTTTTCTTCTCTGCCAAAGAAAAATTGAAATACTGTTATCCTTCATGACAAAGAGAAAGCATTTTTTATTTTCCTTCAGCTTAGGTAAGAGGATTAAGCGCGAAACGTTGAAATCTTTCAATTGTAATGATAAATCGTTTTGTCAGTTATATGTATTAAAACCCTGTTTTGTTTAATGAAGGTTATTCCTCACAGTAAAACGTGTCTAATTCGTGGGTCATCTCAAGCATACTTTTCAATATCAGCTTCCACTGATTCTCTTATCTGTTTTACCCCAATTAGAAAAATCATGAGTAATAAAGATTCACCTGTCATCGCGTACTAATCATAATAATTTTACAGATGACAGGGATATGAATGTCAAAATCTTTGTCGGCAGATTTTTTTGATGTTTTCACCAAGGGCAGATAAAGAGATTGTAAAAAGAATTCACAAGTTTTTCTTGTCCATGTCTAAAAACTATCTCTGAAAACTTCGGAAATTTTAAAATAGCCTGCCTATCCGACCATACTCGGATCAGTATCGATCCGTAACCCATGTTTTGGGGTTAAGGTAAGCAATTAAACTATACAGAGGTTAGTCACGTTTAAATGTAAATCTTGTCAAGTACGGCACGGAAAAGTCGTATTACTATCATTTCATTATGTAAAACCAACGTCAACTAACAGTATTCCGTCATCTATTAAAGGGATCGAGATACCATGTTTTGTTTCAAACTACTATTTTCAACTTAGACGCGTGAACAAAGCCAGCAATATCCATATAGGTAAGACTCCTTTTTCAGGCTTTTTTCGAAGATTATGTCAGCCAGTGATCAAATGTACGCGTTTGGTGGCAGAGTCGTGAGAATTGCTGTTTTAAGACCTGCTATCCTAAGAATATTCTATTTCTGAGTTCCTAAGACCACCACTGTGAAAGTGATTTCAAGTGCGAAACCATTGTTAAGAAAATGAATATCATTTACAAGAGCATTCTTCTTCACACAGAAGGGTTTACACTCACACTTGTTTTAAAACAGAGTCATCTCGGAAACGGTTTGTTCTGTAATGCAGTTTTTCTGCTTGGAAACTAACTTCATTCACTTCGAGAGTAAAGTTGAATCTTTAATTCTTAAAGCAAGCTTGAGTGGGATATGCGATGCGTGGCCATTGCTCACAAGAAAATCTGCATTGTGGTATTGTAAAGTCTCTGCATGAACAAAACAGCCTGAAGATTTATTTGTGGAAAAGTTATGAGCATACTCTTAACTCGTATTTTTTTTTTTTTCCATCGGCCTCTTGATCCTAAATTAAGTTCATTTTTGTAAGGAAAATTCAATTTCAATTTCACATTATCTTTAAGGGCTTTGGTTCAACACTGACCGTTAAAATATGTTATGTATTTTTATTTTGAAACTTCACCTTGCAAAATGACTTTCAATATTAATCATTTTTCGGCTTGCCGGAACTCGATTTTTTCCTGTCTACTTGACCATGGGGGCGGATAATTTAAATCCAGACATGTACCTATTTCAGTTTATCGGATACGTAAAAGTAAATGGGGACATGGGATGGCAAACAGAGAAAAGCAAGAAATACTATATCCTTCTTAGTGGAATGATATGGAATAGCCTGTTCTCTGCAGTCAGTTTAGGAGAAAATAGAAACATGGAAGGGAACGAGGGGCCCGGCTTAAAAGCTCCTAGATTTTCTCTCGTCTGCCTTCTGCTTTCGTCTCTCCCTACTGAGAGCCCGACCAGGTATCGATCATGAATTTATTTCTCTCTCAACATCTAACTCAAGATCCAAAGTTAGATCTTGCAATTCTCTGGTAGTGATCTAAGAATTATGATCCGAATCACTGATTTTCCGCCGGAAAGAGAGTTTGCTCTTTTTAAAATTGAAAAGAACTGTTCTTCAACCGCTAAGATTTAGAGCTGCTTAAGAAATTTGCACACACGTATCTTTAAACGCCAGTGTTGAAACACGATAGCTTGAAGAATTACCAACTTATTGATATCTACGCGTGCGTTGATATCCAAATGGACGAACTATCAAGTAATCATCTCTCGTTATGAAGTAATTTTCAATCGAGTATGAAAAGTAAACCTGGATTGCATTGGTTTTGCTTTAGAGCGCTATTTGATTAGTTTAGATAACTGGCACCGTCTTCTCGATCAAGCAGGTGCAAAACTAAAACCAATCTCGAATTGGTCGCTCGCGTTTTCCCGCGCCTACGCAGTTTACGCATTTTTTCCCTGAAGTTTTAATTGGCTCCGTATGATATTTTCATTTGTTCCGATTGGTAGTTACGACTCTTTTGCGTCTGGTTTAATATGCTTAGCACTTGACATATTTTATAGTGAACAGCGACCAGAAAAGGTCTGGTTTGAGGAAGTAAATATTTTGTATCTTAAGAAGTTTTCGAGTGTGCATGTCTACGGTAGATGAGGTTTCAGTTTCAGAATAAGGGGGAGGAGAGAGTAATGTCCTTCTTTCTAGCTCGATAACTTTGATTTTGAGATCAGGGTTGATTTTAGAGGAAACATCTTTTTTTGACAAAAATAACCGCAATTCCTAATTAAAAGCGAAATATATCTGTTACAATGAATTTGAATTTGGTAAAAAAAGTCTGAGCAGAAAATTTAGATTTGCTTTTAAGTCAATGCTTGGCTGCCGACTCAATTAATGTTGAAAGTGGATGAAAAATTGGTCGCCACAAGTCTCCACAATGAATTTCAAATGAATCCTTTCTTTATGTTTACCCTTTTAAATGCCAAGTAGTTAGAATATAAATGAAAAGCATTTCGAAGAATAATCCTGGTTGGATTGATTAGGGAACGTTTTCTGTTTTTCAAGTCATTATTGCCCCTGTTGGTAAAGTTTGAAATATTGTTGGAAACTTATATTCCCATCTGTTGGAGTTGCTAAATTTACTTTGGCAACCATTCATAACATCAATTCTTTTAAAGTTTGAGCTTTCTCTTCCTGAAAAAAAAAATATCCGACGAGAGTTTATTTTGGTGAAAATATTCTCATTAACAAGTTATTCATTTCCGA